GTCCATTTCCCCAATGTCATTTTGAATTGACTGTCTTTACTCCATTATATGTTCTTGCCTTCTTTGTTAAACATTAATTGACCATAAAGGTGTAAGTTTATTTCTGGGCTCTCTATTCTATTCCAGTGATCTATACATCTTCTTCTTCTTTTTCTTAAAGCTAGTACCATGTTGATTTGATTACTATGTTCTTGTAGTATAGTTTGATATCAGGGAGCATGCTATCTCCAACTTTGTTCTTCTTTCTCAAGATTGTTTAGAATATTCAGAGTTTTTGTATTTCATATACATTTTTGGAGTATTCTAGTTCTGTGAAAATGCCATTGGTATTTTGATAGAAATTGCATTGAATCTATAAATTGCTTTGGTCATATGGATGCTTTAATGATGTTAATTTTTCTTATTCGTAAACACAGTGTATGCTTCCACTTATTTGTGTCTTCCTCAGTGTTTTTTTCAGTATCTTATAATAATTTCCTGAGTACAGGTCTTTTACATCCTTGGTTAAATACATTACTTAGTACCTTGTTTCTGTTCGTTTGGGCTTTTTGTTTTGTTTTTGATGCAATTGTAAATGGAATTATTTTCTTAGTTATTTTGTGATAAGGTATAAAGATCCAGTGATGTCTAAATATTAATTTGTATTCTGCTACTTTATTGAATTAATTTATTAGTTTTAGTACTTTTTGGGGAGAATCTTTAGGTTCTCTCTATATAGTATCAGGTTATTTGCAAATAATGATAGTTTTACTTATTCTTTTTCAATTAGGATGCCTTTTATTTCTGCTTCTTGTGTGATTGCTGTGGCTAGAACTTTCAGTACTATGTAGAATGTGAGTGGTGAAAACGACATCCCTGTCTTGTTCCTGATATTAAAGGAAACCCTTTTAATTTTTGTTCATTGAGTATGATATTGGCTGTGAGCTTGTCATATGTGGCCCTTATATTGAGGTATGTTCTGTTTGCGCTTTGCTGAGAGTTTATGTAATAAGTGGGTATTGGATTTACTTAAATGCTTTTTCTGCATCTATTTATATGATCATGTGATTTTTATCATTCATTATGATTATGTGGTGTATCACATTCATTGATTTTCAAATATTGTACCAACCTTGTATATCCCACTTGGTCATGGTGTATGATCTTGTTTTGTTTATTTGTTAATCCTCACCCGAGAAAAATTTTCCATTGATTTTTTTTCAGATAGAGTAGAAGAGAGAGAAGGAGAGAGAGAGAACTATTAATATGAGAGAGATACATCGATTTGTTGCCTCCTCTACAACCCCTGCCAGGTATGTGCCTTTGACTGGGAATTGAACCCATGACATTTTGGTCCACGGGCCAGTGCTCTAACCACTGAGCAAAACCAGTCAAGGCTATGGTCTTTTTCATGTATTTTTGGATCTGTTTTGCTCATATTTTATTTTTTTAAAAGATTCACTATGAATTTAAACATGTTTGATAGGTATCCTGACCTTAAAAACCCACTCTTTATTTAAATGTCAATTAAGAAAGATTAATTTAACATATAAAAAATAACATTTTTGTGGGTACTGTCCTGTAGGAGAATACATATCACTATCTGAAGCAGCTTCATCTTCATTTGGGAAAATTCTATGGTTATATCAAGCTTTCTCTGTATTATTTGTTTTGTTTTGTTTTTATTTTTCCATCTATTTTGATATAAAACTAATATGTAGAGAATCTCCCACTGGACATTTTGTTAATTCTTACTATTTTAAGTCATTGTGATATAATTAAAACTTTTATACCTAAAACACACATATATATAGATATAGAATTGCTTAAAAGATTACGTTAGCATGGCTGAATGACTTCTGAAAATCTCTCTAATTTTATGAATACTCTGGGAATATCAGAGGGAAATCTCTATTTTAAAGAGTGTTCTACTTCTGAAAGTAGATAAAATTATTTCTCAGAGTACAGCTCATGGTCACAACATTGCTAGTGACCCACTTGCTGCTCCATTTGGAGGATGTTTTCTCCCTCCCAAATCCAGGGAATATATGTTTCTTAATATAAAGTTTATACTTGAATTCAAGAATATTTGAAATCTGGAGGGTATCTTTCATTAACTGCTTTGTTTAACGCGTAGAATGCCAAGTTTACTCATAGGCACAATGGTGAAGGATAGAATTATTAGGAATAGTTCTTGTTTAAAGTGATCTGTTTTGGAAAAAAAATCATTGAAATAACCTCCGAGTTCAAAGACCTTCTGCCCCATGGCCACTCACCATGTACTCATTGTAAATTGGAAAAAAATATTAAGATTTAACATCTTTTGTTCTTCAATTATGTATTGCTAAAATGCAAAATAACCTGAAATGATATAGTTTATATCAACATTATCTAGGGTTTACTAACTCCCCATCACTGAACTACGTATGATAAAAATGTAAGAAAATTAAATCACCTTGTTGAAGACACCTTCTGTCCATAACACTGAATTAGACCTGATAAAATGACATATTTCTCAACCCTGCCATATAAAGCACTGATATCATGAAATAGTCTTCAAAACATAAGGTTCAAGGTCCCCAGAAAAGACATTGGAAAGCGTGGCAAAGTGGTTATCATCAGAAACCAGCTGACTGTGCAGGAGAGAGCTGGCTCTCAGCGTCCAGCGTGAGTACCTGGAGGGATTTCCGCGTCCGCTCCCACCAGAGCGCAGAGCGGAAAGTTCAGGAGAGGCCGGGCAGGGGAGCCTTGATGAGACAGAAAACTGATCTGGAACTCAGTATAAAGCTGAGATAAATGCCAGGGCTGAGTGGCAATTAGTGAAACCTTACACAATGGTCTTTCTTCCATCTTTTCAAACTTAATTATCACTGGGTGAGTCATATCTTTGTCATAGTTCACCTGGACTAAACCATCTCCAGGTTTTATATTACAACCAAAGCAATTCTTGCCAAACAAAATCTAAGAACCTTTCTCTCTTGTATGGAATCTTTCACTGGTTTACTATGGTCTATAAGAAGAAGTGTAATCTCCGGAGGGCGGGATGCAAGGCCCTGTATGCTGTGAGCATGGTTTGCTCTCCCAGCTCCTCGGGGCTCGGCCCGCAGCAGCCTGCGCTCTGGGCTCTGGCCGTACTGAAACATGGCCTTGTCAGCACCACGTTGTTTACAAATTCATCCCTTTCACAGGCTGTTCTTTCTATGTGGGGTGCTGTCCCCACTGTCTAGTTTGTGACCTTTCTGAAACCTTTGTAACTGGTAATTCCTGTTATCATTCAGGATGAAATTCAAATATTCTCCATTACAAATGTTTTTCTAACCTTCCCCAGCAGCAAATCTTTCGCCTGTTATCACCAGACCTTACATTTCTAATATCACAATTGGAAAACGTTATTTTAATTATTTACCTATCTGCCTGTTTTATGAGGCCATGAAATATCAAGTATTTCAGCTAATTCGGTTTGGGAATAAGTCAAATGATGGAGTAATCCATAGCTTTCTACCAAAATGCATCTCTTTCTAGCAATGAATAAAAGTAAACTCTTTTAGACTTTCCCAAGGCCAGATTCCTCTTTTTGGGATATTTGGATAAATTTCAAGGCACCATCTTATTACAACATCCCACATTGATGAGAAGAAGATGGTATTCAAACTGTTAAATATATACAAAGGAAGATAGAATAGTGTAATGAATTCCATTATGCAATTTCAACAGTTATTATTAACTAATGGTCAATATTGTTCTACCTATACTGTCCATAGCTCCACCCTCCTTTTTACTCTCAAATATTTTGAAACTAATTAACCTTTCATTTACAAATATTATTGTCTGCATTTCTAAAAGATAAGGACACTTTTTATAGACATATTGATACCATTATCACACCTAAAATACAAACAATTCCTTGCTATTAGCAAATCTTTGGTATTCAATTTACATTATGGCCCATTTTTTAGTTTCTTTGAATGAAGACCTTGTAAAACCTATATGCTTGGTCACTGGTTGATATGTTTCTTTTAGTCTGAAGCAGGAGTTCTCAATCAATGGGCAATTTTGCCCTATAAGAGACAATTTTAGCAGTCTGGATACATTTATGGTTTTTACAATGGCTGTAGACTAAACTTTTGTGTTTTCCCAAAATATATGTTAAGATCCTTATCCCAAAATGATGGTGTTTGGAGTTGAAGCCTTTGGTTGGTAATCAGGTTAGGTCAGGTCATATGTGTGGGCCCCTGGTGATGGGACTGATGCCTTTATAAAAAGAGAAGACTGAGGGGTCTCTCTCTCTGAGCACCTCTAAGGAAGGCTTTGCGATCCTATAACCAGGAAGAAGCTTCTCACCCAGAGCCCCAGTGATCTGGACTGTGCTGTCACTCTGATCTCAGACTTCTAGTGTTCAGCACTGTGAGAAGTTTCTGATAATTTGTTATAGAACTATTTGTATGTAGTGGATGGAAGCCAGGGATACTGCTAAATGTCCTACAGCGCACAGGACAGCTGCCACAATAAAGAATTATCCAGCCTCAAATGTCCATAGCACAAGGTGAAGAAGCCCTGGTCTAGAAGTCCCTCCTTCACTTATTTTTTATTATAATTTATTTGTTTAATAAATAAGACTATTTGTCCTATAGAGGTTCCTACAGTCTCTGTTTTGCTGATGACACACTGTCACTTAACATATTTTAGTGTCCCTTGTATTTATTAGTAATTAGACTTAGATGCTTAATCAGATTCAGATTCAATATTTCCAGCAAAACTACTTTATTTTCTGTTATAAATAGTGTGGTGTCCTTCCATCCAGAGGCACATAATGTCTGATTCTCTCTTTCTCATCACTATGGGATACTTTTAAGGATTCATGTCTATATCCACTTGTTCATTAGAGGTTGAAAAATGATATTACAATTGTATGACTTCTTTATTTATTGCAAACATCACTATTTCTTAAACATTCATTATAATATTTGATATGAAAATAGCATTGTGCATTCCTCACTTACACATTTAATTTTTCTTCTTAGAAACATCCTGTACCACCTTGACGAGAAGACGAGCCAGTTTTCAATACTCCTGGAGGCCTGGGAGAGCTGCAAGTCACTTGCTTCCAATGAGACCTTTCAGGAAGCCCTGTCCAAGGTGCTGCACAGCATTCATTCAGCTCAGGTTCACTTCCAAGCAGGACTTGATGTGTTCGACAGTGTCTCGAATGGAAAGAACTGAGAAAACTCTCAGCATTTTAAAAAGTTTGTTTACAATTCCTCAAGCAAAAGCTCTAATCTGATCAGATTTTCTGACATTGAGGACTTTCTCCCCCCAGTGGCTTTTTCTATAAATCTAAAGCTATTATTAGATTGTATTTTAATAGACATATAAAAAAGAGCATTTTGCACATTGAATATTTTTCTTATCTCTGCATTTCTGAATATGTAAAAGCAAGTTATTGAAATGATACTTAAGATTTATCTATTGAAAAGAAATCTACTGTATTTTTATATAGAGAGAATATTTGGGGGGAAATGTTCCAAGAAGTTTTGGACAATCTTTGCTCCTATGGATAAAGCACAGGGGAACAGAAGTTCCTTATGTTAGCGCTTTTAGTGACCTTCCATCCAGAGGCACATAATGTCTGATTCTCTCTTTCTCATCACTATGGAAAACTTTTGATGATCAATGTCTATATCCATTAGTTCATTTCTGTAACAGAAATGGAAAGTTGATATGGTTTCAGATTAACTTCACTGTCAAGTATTCAATCGAAAGACTTCAAGTATTATGAGTGATTGGTTGACCAAAACCACTTTGAATGTTTCTATTTTATGAAATGAAGTGCCTCTTCGTAACACAACTAGATGTAGTAATACACTGGTTATGAAATTGTGTTGTTTTTAAGTATTAATGACAAAAAGAGCCATAAACATTCCAGGGGAAAATCTCCAGGTAGCTGCACAGAGCAATTTAAATGCAAATGTTTTCTAACAATTTATAAGGTGACAAGCTTTGAAACCCTTAATTTGCCTCAGTTGCTTTTGTAAAAAACTTCAGGAGCAATATGTCTTCTGAGGGACAAAATATTTCTTCTTTCTTCTTATGTTGTTTCTGTTGGAAGCATTGAAACAGGGCTACTCTAAAATGACAGCATCACACATTCTTTGAAAAAACCAAATATCTTTAAAAGCGTTAAATTGTTTTTTGTTATCTTATTTTATTTTTTGCCACTAACAGAAAGGACTTACTATGAAAGAAATACCTGTTTCGCTCAATGGAAAAAAAACTCCTTAATTCTATGAGGAAACTTTCCATATGTTTTTCTTTCTTTAGCCTTGGTCGTGACTAAGATAAAAATGGAGATAACTTCATAATCCTCATTTTATGCAGAAAAAAACAGTATTGCTATATGAATATGTCTTTCCCACACTTCAATTATTTTCTCATGTGGAAAATGAAACTTTTTGTATTGACATTGTCATTGACTGGCTCTGACATCCATTATTCCCAAACAGTCTAGACTTCTGTTATGTGACAGTTTAAACTTTAGCTTGCCCTTAGAAATTGATTTAAACATTTTTCTTCTGATATTGGATACAGGAAATGCCCTGAGGAAACAGATCTTCAGACTAGTCCGTGTGCATTTTGTCTCTAACCCGGCTCAACAAACACACTTCCCCTTTGTACCCGCTAGAGCAGCACTGTGGACAGTGCCCGTGTGTCTGCGTCTTTGCTTCCTAGGGTGAGCATGAACCTAATCCTAGTTTACAGGAAACCTGAAGTTGAGCTGAAAAAATTTATCAGTATTGACTAATTGACTTATAAGGCTCAGCTGTTCCCACCCTAAGTAATGTGCACCTGCTCAAGGCAAAGAAGACAATCGAGGCGATCAGCTAGATAATTCAAGCAGGAATCCGTTTCCATCTGAATGGCCTGTATACATATTTTTACAGGAGAAATGAAACTACCTTACTTTTTATAAACCAATAGACTGTTTGCAAATATTTGCCATGTTGAGGTGTCTCGGAGAGGACTGGGAGGCCCAGGCTGCTGCAGACCTTGTATCCTGCCCTCTGGCTCCGCCGAAATCAGCGGCAGAAGAGGCGGAAATACACCTGCGGGTGTGGGTGGGGCCAAATCACAGACTGTCTACACCAAAGGATCTTAAATTGCCAATCAAGCTTTAATGTGTTCATTCCAGTTCTTAATTTGGAGTTGAGTTTAGGCAAATAATTATCAGTTTGATCATTTATCATTTTAGAGCAAAATCCGAAGTAAACTCACTCCCTTGGTCTGCAAGAGCATTGACAGCACAAAGTATTTGTGTTTGTACATTTTTGTTTAATGATTGTGTACCTGGGTAAACCACATTGCACAAGGAAAAGTCTCAACATGATGTACTCTTCACTTCTAAATTATCTGATAGTTGATATTCTAGAACTGAAGTTAACTGTGGAATATCACATTTATATTAGTCTACTTAGAGATTATGAGAGTAACCTCATTTATAATTTATATCATTTATAAAATTTCCCAATAGGTCCAAGTAAATAAAGTCCTATGCAAGTGTTTTGGGTGAATTGGTAGCAGGCTTCAATTCTTGCTGAGATATCTGGGTGCCTGTTAATTCTTACAATCCTTCATACATAGGATTGTGTCAGAATATAATAAACCATAAATGGTTATTCTGCCAAGAAAATATGACAAATGTGCACCCCTGGACTTGGGTTCAAGAAGGGTACACAGGGCACACTGCCCTTTGGGGAAGAGCGTATATTCTGGAGTCAAAGGGACGTCTGAGGGACAGCCTGGTCTAAGCCCCGTGATGTTATTCAGCAGGAGAAGCATCATCACCTCATCAGATGCAATACCTGCAGCCAAAGTGAATAAGAAACTTGGACAGAGTCACATATTTAGCTAGTAGCAAAAGCTCTACTGGGATTTAAGCTTCTGCGCTTTGCCATGCAGTACATTCAGCTCCCTCCCAGAGATGCTAGGGCTACAAACAATTATTCCAGTGCCTCCTATGAAAGCAGCCATCCCAGCAAACGCAGATGAACTGGAATCACTGCTTCAATCAAGGACTAGCTTGTTCTCTGACTATGCCTGACAAACAAAACCTTCCCAGGGAATGCAGGCAAAAGATTGGCTACTCAGGAGGAAGTGGGGAGAGTTTCTACATAACATCAGAAGTAGGAAGGAGGCATTGAGTTAAATGCCGTATGAGAACATGTTTTAGCTCTATATTAAATCACCGATCTAAATCGGTGTTGCTCGAAGTGTGGGTTGTGGGTGTGAGGCCTAGTGATATTCATCTTCAGCACGATTTCCCAGATGATTGTTATGAGCACTGACATTTAAGAATTTCTAATCTACATTAATCCTGGGTCCTGAGAAAATATTACTTGGCAACTTATCAAAAATAAACAAACAAAAAAACAGTCACAATGACACGAGGTACCCTAAGCTTTGCTGTTAATAAAGAGAGAGTACAAGTAACCATTGTAGCTCTCAGAAAAGGGTGCAGACACAGCTACTTGCCAGGCAATGTTCGCATGTATTTGTTTTTGTTCATTGAATCCACACAATAACCTATTTTTTTTAATGAGGAAACTTGGTTGAGTGACTGATGGGAAGTTACAGAGCTAACACAAGTGTTCCAGGTGTGTTTCTCCGCTGGGCCCTCTGGTATCAAGACTTGTGCTCTTCACACTGAGTGCTGCAGAAAACGTCAGAGGAGTCGCTTGATTTCAGAAAGTAGCAGAACCGAGAATTCAATGTATTTCTGTGTAACCTGTCACTTCCAGTTCAATGAAGGGGTTTGAAGGGTCATAGTGCATCATTCCTTATGACGGTGGCCCACCCACCCCAACAATATGCGGGTAAGTTAGAAGATATCTGTAAGAACATTAAAAGCCAATGCATCATTATAGAATATTATGACACCTTGATGTAAAATAGTAAAAAGAGAACAGAAGCCACATGTCACATAATTTCTCCTCAAAATGCCTATATAATTTCACTGGGGAAAAAAAAAGAGCAGGTGCTTGGATTTACAATCAAAGTTTTATATCATCCTTAAAAACTCGGAATAACTGACATTTTAACTTAAATAAATATAGAGCATATGGTAGGTTTCCCGATTGGAAAGATAAATGTTCTAAAAATAAAATAAACGATGATTTATTACCACCTGCCTAATGATGAATCAGCATCTTTGCCTCACATAAAAAATTATAATTATTTACACAATAAATTGGTAGACCTAGCCAAAAATGTTCTCAGAGCCACTGTGTGGTATAGGTAATTAATTAATACAAAAAGTAAGCTTTCTCTTGAGGGTCGCACATTGTCATCTCTTTGGTTTAATAGGCTATTTAACTGTGTTTTAGTTGTGCATTCTCTTAATAGAAAGGGATTATTTTAAACTGCCAATCCATGTGTTGAGCAGAAGTGAAATGGGTCTATGTATCCCAATAAGTATATCAACAACATAGTAGCTTCATCATGGGAGCACCAAGGAAACCCAGGGGGAAACCAAACAATGTGATATTTAGGAAAAATATTCTGCCCAGCTGTAGTAGTGAATCTTTATTTCTTCCATGTGTTGAAATTGCTAGCGTAAAAAATCCTCATTAGAATCTGCTATTCTGAAAGATCTTAAAAAACTTTAGAGTTCTAAGCACTCCACTAAGTGCAAATATTTTTTAGTTGAGTTTGTTTATGAAATTCAAAATTTTAAGTGATATGGATTTGAAAGAAGGGTTGCAAAAAAAATATTTTTAAATCTAACCTTTCTTGGTTATTACCATGTCCACTCAATTTTCTGTTTTCTCTCTTTAGATATACTTTAGCAATAAGATTAAGCTTTTTTTTTAACCCCAAGAAAGTAATTTTAAGATCTATTTGGCTCAATATGCATTTATCTGTGAATCAGCCAGAGTTTTATTTCCATAATACCTTTTCACTATCCTTCCAAGAAGTGCACTGAAGAGCCTTTAGCTGACCCGAGACTGCCAAGAATCTTGAGGCCTTGCTTGTTGTGAGATGAAATACTTCTTAAAGACATTCATAATCTCATTCTTAGATTGTATCTGAATGTACAAAACAAATGATTACACTGAGGCACGTCCAGGTAGCATTCAAGAAAAGGAAGCTGCTTCCAAGTTTAATGTTTCTGGTCAGATTATTTTCTGTTTTGAAGTGTATAGTTATAAAGTTTTCTGTAACCAAAA